TTAGTTTCCTCGGGATTACTTCGATAAGCCGATCGATTTGGAATGATAGCTCCGGGTATGAAGTCAATTTGATGTTCAATGCCTCGAATAGGCGGCAATCCACTTGGTGCATCCTCCGAAAAGACATCATCAAATTCATGCAACAAAGACTTAGCCAAACTAGGGAGGGGTGGGTTAGTTTCCTCAAAATTGAGGAGTGATTCCTTATAAACGAACAAGATCATCTCTTTCCTCTCAACTACCGCCCTCCTCAAATCACTCTCTTTTGCAAAGAAATTCGCTCGTGTTTTCTCTCTTCTCTCGGGGTACTCTCTTTCTTTTCTCTCTTCTGATTGCTCTCTCTTTTTCTCTCTAATGGCTATCTCAATATTTTCTCTCTTTTTCTCCAACTCACTATTTGCTCTCATTTTTTCTAACTCTTTTGCGCTCCTCTCTTCCTCACTTCTCAATTTTAATTGGTCCTCATAGACTTGTGCCGGTATTAATGGCACAAGATTAATGGTCCTTCCATCCTTAGTGAAACTATATCGATTTTTGTACCCATCATGCATAGCCTTCCTATCGTATTGCCATGATCACCCCAATAAAATATGTCTCGCTTGCATTGACACTACATCACATACTAACTCATCCTTATAACTCCCAATTGACAAATTAATTAACACTCTTCGATTCACCCTCACCTCGCCACTCTCATTCAGCCATTGCAATTTATAAGGTCTCGGGTGTTTCAACAATGTTAAACCCAACTTTTCTATAAGAGATACGCTAGCTACATTAGTGCAACTACCACCATCAATTATAACACTACATACCGTATTGCTGACGTGGCATCAAGTGTGGAAAATGTTCTCCCGTTGCAACTCCAAGTCATCCGCTTTGATGTGAGTAGTGAGAGATCGCCTGGTGACTAATAGATCCCCAACCGGCCCTTCAACTTTTTCTTCTTCACTAACACCCTCCAACGCCGGCATGTCATCAAACTCGCCATCACTATCGCTCACAGTCTCTCCATTATCCAGCAACACTATCGCCCGTTTGTTTGGGCATTGAGAAGCAATGTGCCCCGTTCCCAAACACCTAAAATATTTAATGTCCCAATTGCGCGTCGGTTGTGCTTCCGATTTTGATATTGGTTTGCTAGCATTTTTGTAACGACCCAATTATTTTTTTTAAAGGGTTGAATCGCTACTGAATTTTTTCATTCGAATTTGGGCAACTTGGAATGCCATAATACATATATAATTATGAAGATGTAATTTACTCAATTTTTAAAAAAAATAATAAAATATATTAATTTATATATATATATTATACGTGTGAAATAATTTATTTATTTTTCATTTGACTTAACACATCCAAATATACGCAATGATGGATCCCATATACACATAGGATAATCAAAATTCCCAGTCAAAGATATGCTTTTGTCTTTCATTAGTGTGGTGTGGGACACTGCCCAATTAAGAGAATAGTACAAAAGCTGAATCATTTATTTAAGAAATTCAACACTTTACACCACAAGGCTACAGGACATAATTTATTTGGATATGACCACCAGTCCATAAATTGACAGTGAAGAAAATTCTTTAAATTGACAGTGAAGAAAGTTCTTGAACAGTGAGATTGGCAGAAAAAGTAATATTTAATTCGAATTTCATTTAAAGTGAAATGACCCTTACTCTTAAATCAGACACGAAAATAATGAATAAAATATTTTAAAGAAGTCGAGATTCCTAATTTTTCTTCATGCAAGCACGGAGATCAAAGCAAAATAACACAATTTTAATTCAGACTTTAAATAGAAGCATAATTTAAAAATATTCATGTAACAAATAATCACAAACGATAAATCAGTTTTCAAAATAAATGACTATGACAAGAAATAAAATTACTCGTTGAAATCAAGATTTTCATCAGCAAAAGCAGGCACAACCACACCATCGAACTATCACGCTCCGACACGACCCGATCTAACCTGTAAGGTGTAGGAAAAGGGTGAGTACATGGGAATACTCAGTAGGATATCATAATTCAATGGTGCAATCCCGAATAATAATTTTAAGACATGTGTCAGAATATCATACCGTCGCATAACTTTAAAATCCGGTAAGAGCTCACATCATAACATTTCATT